AAAATTTGAGTATTTTTCTATGTTATGTTCATGTTTATGTTCATAAACTTTTAATTTAATAAAATATGTTTTCATAGTTTGTGTTGTCCCTTATTATCAATGCAAAATGGTCACTAACTAAAGAGGATTTATGCTGATATTGCCCAAAAACCCTATTTTGTTCAGGCGTTTCCAAACTTTTGGAGGGCAGTGTATATATCTATCTATTTATCTATATATACATATACACACACACACACACACACACACACACACACACACACACACACACACACATATATATATATATATATATATATATATAGTATGTATATTCATCTGTATATATTCATTCGTATATCCTGTTCACATTTCTGTTATATTCTTAACATGTCTACACCACTGTACACTGATTGTACATACATATATAGATCATATTTATCCATATTTATAATACCTACTGCACCTCCTGTACATAAGTCATCCATTCCCCTGTACATATCACCCTCATAGCTGTATATCCTTATTTGTAATTTATTGTAAATATGCCACTTATGCACTTCTGGTTAGATGCTAACTGCGTTTCATTGGCTTAGTACATGTACTTTGAACAATGACAATAAAGTTGAATCTAATCTAATCTAATATATATATATATATATATATATATATATATATATATATATATATATATATATATATATATATATATATATATAATGGATACTGGAATATTGTCTTGAATGTAAACAAATATCCCAAATTAGTAAACTCTAAATGAGTTCTTTTGGAAAGAGACATGTTTTTTTTAGCTTGCTAATGAAGAAGTACACATATTCAACCAATCTGAGTTTATGGGGCTCATTTTGTTGCTCTCTTTTACCCCCTAGTGGAATAACAGAGATTTCCAGTTCAAATAAGGTTCACAAAACAATTTTAGTTTAGAACATGGATTACAACCTTTCCATGGGCCGTATTTTTTGACACCACTTATCTACAGTATAATTTTTATAAGTTCACATATAGCTGCATTCAGACGGCAAACGTTGATCTTGTTTTCTTGGTTTTTAAACCAACCTTTTATTTACTGTTGCCATTACACAATTAACATACATTAGGTATGAAGTTGCTAAAGAATAAATTTGTTTAACAAACCATTATTTTGTAATTGATGCAGTGCCTAAACGCCTCATTTTGCTTTATTTAAGAAGGAATATTAAGGAGGGTGTTTAACATCTGTTCTAGGTCTATAAGGGGTATGTAGATGACAGTCGGAACACTGATAATGCCTGGGTGGAAAGCACTGTTATATCAGTTCACCTCGAAGATGAGTGGCATCTGATGACACGGGATGGTGATGGTGGTGATGGTGAGGTAGGGAGCTTTTACTCTCCTTCCCCTACACTGACTCACCTAAAGTTCAAGTTTAATTTTAACTATCGAACGTTGAAGCATTGTATATACGATATATAGCCTTGCAATACAATGGCATTCTTATATACTTACAAACAATATCAGGTGTCTATGAGATTTGTACATGCAACAAAATTATACAATCCTTCAAGAGACATAGTGCAAGAGGAAGGGAGGGGGGATACTGCATGTAGTTTAATGCATATGGTACACAAACACTACACATAAATAATTAAAAGAGCTTGACAAACATGAAGTGATTATGGTAGAGAAAAAGAAGTAGAGTAGAGTGTATAGGTAAGTACACCAGACTCAAAAAAACATGTATTCATATTCATTTCATCAATGAAGTCAAAGGTTTGGACACACCTACTTATAGAAGGGTTTTCTTTATATTTACTGTGTTCTTCTATTTAGAATAATAATGGAGATTAGCATTATGAAACAGCATATATTATGGCTTCGTAGCAGTATTCTTGATTAAGCTTTGTACAGTTTTCTCAAACAGCTTCATGAGGCAGCTTCACCCAGAAGTTCCCACTGCTTCACCCAAGTTTTTGATGAAAACTACTTGTTTGGGGAAATAATCCACTTTAAGTAAAAAAAAAATAATTAAAAAAAAAAAGTTCAGTAAAAATTATATTTAAAAAACACATTTATATTCAGAAATAAATGTATACATGGACATAGTGTACATTTTACTATTTACATTTGTCTTCAAAACAAGTTCCAACCATAAGACCTTAATCTTTAAGACAATATAAATTATCTATTCAATGTAGTGTGTCTGAATTTTTTTTTTTATTGGTAGTGTATGCAGAATATAATGTTGTATTCTTTCTTTAGTCTCTTAGCAGCACTGAGAAGCTTCAGTGGCATGAGTTGAGCAGCAAAACGCCTGTGTATCCATATCAACGAGAAGCTCTCCGTACCATTGCGCAAAAACACACCATTAAGTTTTAAGGAAACTTAGAACTGACTCTCAGGAAAATGGACAAACAAATGTTTCACTCTGCAAACTGTGCACCTTTTGTGGGGATTCAATAGTACAAAATCTGTACCTCTACAGTTCTGTAACAAGGCGTTATGCAACTGTTTGCACATTTGCTAATGAACCAATCATTCACTTGTTCATCTTTAGTACAATACCTGTTAACAAAATAACATCAAAGAAAGCTTATTAATCATCATCGTTATCATCATAATCAATGTAAATATTATGAAATCTAAAATGGGCAGGTCATATACAGAGAGGAATACAATTATTTAAACCACATACAAGCATTATATTAATCCAGTATGCTTAATACAGCAGAATTAGTCTCTCAGATATTCTGTGAGATTACAGATTAAAGAGGTTATAGCATAAAATTCTAGCATTACTAGCAGGATTTTGAGGCTAAATATCTGGTTTATTCATTTATTTATTCCTTTTATTTCATTTCCAATAGCAAGAAACTGACTTTGTGTACAGACTGTTGTGGCATTCTCCAGCATTAGCCATAAGTATCCAGTGCAGCATTATCTTCACAATCACATAAGCTAGATCTGAACTGTGACTTTGTTCTTCAGCTAATCACGTAGAATCTTGTTCTCATCTGGATCATAAGCAGAACTGTGATCTAATATAAACTGCACACCTGAGCCTTAATGGACTTCAAACCATCATTTCAAACCATAGTATGATGATAGGCTGGAAAACCTGTTTTACTTATGCTGAGATAATCATTTAACTAAATTATTTTTTTGTAGAATGGAAAGTTAGACATTGATGTACATTGAGTACACACAGCGTACATGGGGTTGCATTTTCTTTTCCTAAGCAGAGGCTTTACAGTAGCAGTTTCGAGAATAAACTTGATGCTACTGATTGTCAGTATGGCATTATTCAGCATGTTAGCAATAATGAACTGAAAATGGAATGTTTTTGACTGGCTGCTGCATACAAAACCAAAAATATTTCTTTTTCTGTACTCAGTATTATTAGCATGGTGTAACCACACATGAATGCACTAATACACAATCCACAGAGTATCTACTGTAAGTGAACTTAATAAGATCACTATGAACATCTGGAAGCCAATTAAACATGTGTGCAAATAAAACATTATCCTGAAACCAGTTCAGTGTTGGCTCATTTTTGTTATAGTTGCATTATAGTAATTAAAAAAAAGTCACTGGAGTTTTCCTTGATTACTTCAAACTGACATAAATAAAATTCAGCTAGCTCATAAAGATAAAAATTACCATTTCGTATGTAAATATCAAGTCCAGGATTGGGGTCATTTCCAGTTATATAGCTAATATGTCCAGTGTTGAATTAACATGGACAATGTTGAATCGATGTTTAACTAACATTTATATTTAGCCATTTAGCACACTCTCTTAACTTTCAAAACATGCATACAGTTGAAGGAGCAGCAACACAAAGCATCTATCAAATCAGTTTAGTCAATTTTGCAAAGGTTATTTCAGACAATGGGTTATCTTCCAGGAGGAACTGCTAGAAAGGCATTCTGCTATCTTCTGAGAATGTTAGGAGGTTGATGGAGGAAAAGAGAAGTAAACTTGCGCATCATTGGCATAGCTGTGATAAGAGAAACCATGAGATCTGACCACTGAGCCCAGTGATTTAGTATAAAGGAAGATTAAGAGTGGACTAAAAATGACCCCTGAGGGACTCCAGTAGTAATACTGGAGTCAAGAGAGCAATAAATTTTTTCCAGGGGGATGTTGGTGCCACAGCCCAATTCTGTGAAAATTCCCTGGGGTCATGCAGCTCTGACTGGGAGATTCTGTTAGGCTTCGATTCTACATGACTTCTGCATTTGATTTGAATTCACTTCATTTCAAATCAATTTTATTTGTGTAACGCTTTTAACAATAGACACTGTCACAAACCAGTTTCACAGAATATTTCGATCCCTAATGAGCAAGCCAATGGTGACAGTGGCACAGAAAAACTCCCTGAGATGACATGAGGAAGAAACCTTGTGAGGAGCAAAACCCATCCTCTTCTGTGTTGAAAGGATGTTGTAAAGAAGAGTCAGTCTTTATGATTACAGCAGCAGTTTTTAGGTACAAGTTTACAGTATCCAGGTGAGATTATCCACTGAAAAAAGGGAGAGACTTGGGCATAAATTGTTTTTTGGGAAGTGCAGAAGAAATATCAAGAGTCATCAGGCAGATCCAGAATTTATTTATTTATTTATTTATTTATTTATTTAGGGGGCACGGTGGCTTAGTGGTTAGCATGTTTGCCTCACACCTTCAGGGCTGGGGATTCGATTCCCACCTCTGCTTGGAGTGGGTGGAGTTTGCATGTCCTCCCCGTGCTTTGGGGTTTCCTCCCATAGTCCAAAGACATGCATTGTAGGCTGATTGGCATTTCCAAATTGACCATAGTGTGCGAATGTGTGTATGAATGTGTGTGCGTTGTCCCCCCCGCCTTGTGCCCCGAATCCTGTGGGATAGGCTCCAGGCTCCCCATGATCCTGTGTAGGATAAGCGGTACAGAAAATGGGTGTTATTTACTTATTTATTTATTTGCCTTTATAGACCTGAGTCTTAATGTTTATCCTCATACTTTAACTTTATGCTGCCCTCTGGTGTATATAATACGAATAATGCCTTTCTGGGTTCTATTTTTTCCAGGGTTATTTATTTGAAGTCAGTTATATAATTCATATGAAAACAGATATGCCTGAGTCATATAATAAATTCGAGAATATACAGTCAAAGTTTCCCGTAGTGATGCACCACAGAATTGTCTTGAGATTTTGATCATCCGGGCTCTGGCTGCCAAAGCAGGGGACAAGTTGTACCTGCGTCCTCTGATTGGTCCGCAGTATGCCAAGACACGCCCCCTGTCAGTACCAACCCACAGCTGGCAATGAAAGTGGAGCTGTATTATATGGAGGGGGGAAAAAGCTCAGGTGTTATTGTACATAGTCTTTCATAAAATATTAAAGTGTTTCAAATAAGGGAAAATGAAACCATAGAAATGGCATAAAAATACCTAGTCAGTTGCTTGTTAGTGAGTAAAAATGGAGTTATAATAGCCTGCACATCTGTATCTGACAGTAATACACGCACTTACCGTAATGCACCGTGTTCAGCGCATATTAGAATAGGCACTCAATTACAATTAATATAAAACATTTATTTATGAGCTAAACTTATTTCTTGGTCGTAGGTAAAACTATTTTAACTTCTCAGATATTTTATAAATTATGGTAGAATGTGCGTAAAAGTATTACAGACGCATAAAATCTTTATACATTTTTTTTAAATAGAATGAACGTTTTATCTCTACCAGTAGGATGAATCCCAAATCGCTACTTTTTTAACCCTGTAGTGCACTCCATAGGGTGTATACGTCATTATTTTTACCTCCTGTGTAGTGCACTCGTGTAGGGAGTAGGGTAGTAATTGGTAATGCAGCCGCCGTCGCCCTCGCGCAAGGTTACAGGTGTATTAACGTCAGGATGAAAAAAAAAAAACACGGAAGTGACGTACGCGCTCACGAGACTCAGAATCAGATTAAACCATCGGATTCATGTAAAAAAAATCTAAACAGGCGAGCTGCTCTGGGAAGACGAGAGAGGAGCGGGAGTTAATCGGTATGGGTTCATTTTTGGTTTGTAAACCTCATTGTTTCGCGTTTTAATGTTTCTGTTGCTCACATTTGTCGGTTTTATGTTGTTCTTGGCCAGCTTTTACATCAAAACACCGGCAGCGCAGGGAGACGTGGAGCTGTGATGTTTTGCATGTTCCTGCTCTGTGTCTCTCTGCTTTCTAATTCACAAATATTAGCTTTTAGGACGCTTTTAAAATTGCGTGTTTACCTGCATGTATAGCTGCAGCAGTAATATAGTAATACTCGCTTCCGAGCCATAGGTTGGTCGCTATTCATATAACACTACTAATAATATGGGGTAGCTGATATGAAGGAAAATATCGCGATATTTGGAGGCACGATATTTAATGTTTGGTTTTGCTGAGAGCAGTGGAGATGTATAGCAGGAAAAGCTACACGTTTAAATATTGTTGTATTTAGTCTTTTACAAAATTATGTAAGTGTATAAATCGATAGAAAATGAAACAATTAACATCAAAATACAAATATATAAAAATACTCAGTTTGTTCGATTGTGAGCCAGTTAAATGGAATTTTAAGAGCCTTCACATCTAATGATACTCATGAGTGCATGTTAATATACCACAGTGTGTGTGTGTGTGTGTGTGTGTGTGTGTGTGTGTGTGTGTGTGTGTATATATATAATGTAAATTTTTTACATTTTGCAAATATCTTCTTTCAATTCCCTGATGGTTGCCACGTCACAGCTCCAGTGCCCCTGGATTGATGCTGAGCTCTAGTTAGTGTCTGTGTGGAGTTTCTGTGCATTTGAAACTCGCTCTCTGTGAATTTGAGTTCCCTCTGGGTTCTCCACTGTCCTCCGACCTTCCAAAATCATGCCGACATGTGGAGTGGTGATGCTAAATTGCCCCTAGGTGTAAATAAGTGTGTGTGTGCACATGTGCACTTGCATGGTGCCCTGTGATGGACTGGGTGTATTCCCAGCCCAGTCCCCTGTTTCCGAATGAACTCTTATGGTGTTCATTTGTGTCCAATTGGACTTCAGCTGCGGGGCTTTTTCTTTACTCAGCAATTCGGTTATCTTCATTACCATCAGATAAATTTCCTTTAGGAGCAGCTGCACAAAACAGCACTCGACGACTCCTTGTTTATATTGCGTTGTCCTGCTGATGTGGCCCGGCCTGCATGATTGTAACCTGCGTATTCAGCAGTTGCTGGTAGCCACTTTCAGGATCATACACCCTGTATGTTTTAAATCTCATAAATGCGCTATATTCCCCAGATGACTTTTAGAGAAGGTGCATTGCATTTTATTATGGCATTTATAACCCCCAGGAGCTCTGTATAAGGTTTTAACTGCTTTTGCTTTAACATGATGTTGGTTCCTGGAACTGAGGGATTATTATTTTTAGCTTTTTCATTGAAGTTTCTTTCTTTTTTTTTTTCCCCCCAAAGCCTCTTTTTAGCTTATAGTATCATATAATTTTAGATATTCCCTGTCACATCAGTCTTTTCAAATGAGAAGTCTGGAAAGAGTGCTTGTTTTTGTGATCTCGAAGCACAATTGCAGTGATTTTGGAAATGTTAAAATGAAAAAGGGAATTTCAGTAAAATAATTACCCAAAACAAGAGGATTTCAGTTGGAGGCAGGACTCAGCAGAACCCACTGCAATGCTGATTTTTGTGTTATTTTAATTTGATGTTTGACTCCTTTGTGCAGTATATGCAGTGCTAACGTGTGCAAAAAAAAAAAAAAGTGCACGTTTTATCATCATTCTGTCAAAACAAATGAACTTGGAGGAAAATGATGTAAAAGTCATGGCTCAGATATCCAATGTGCATGCCCATTGTGGACTAGAAGACAGATTCTAACCAATCCCATCTAAAAGCTGGGAAACGCCCACCTTGAAATTGCATTTTTTTTAAAAATTTTTTTATTTATTTTGTGTAATGTTTTGTTGTGGGCTGAATAAAAACACACTTCTCTTCTAACACAATGCCACCCAATTTCCCGGGAACTAAACTCTTCTTAGAATTTGTGCCTTTGAGTCAGCTATTTGAAAAGCGATCATGGATTGATTGTGGTGTGGGAGGCGCAGTGTTTGGTTGTGAGGTGGGAAAGTGGTTGTTGGTTGTGATGGATGCAGTTGGAGTTCGTCTGGCTGAGTGAGTTGGCAAATGAAGCCATGTGATCAGTAAAGACTGCTGACAGTAACAAGACGCTGCCTGTCTGTGTAGAGTCCAGGTCCAGTTTTGCACAGACGAACGTAAGCGATAACTACAAGATCATTTCCAGAGTATGACTGTGTACGCGCTGGGTTGTGTACAATGCGTGTCGTCTCCAACATAGCTGCAAATTTCTGCAAATATTATTATACATTAGTGAAGTGAAGTGACGTGTGGCCAAGTACAGTGACGTACTCGGAATTTTCTTCTCTGCATTTAACCCATCCAAGTGCACAGTAGTGAACACACAGCCGGAGCAGTTTTTTTTAATTATTTTTTTGCTGCGGCGCCCGGGGAGCGGTTGGGGGATCGGTGCCTTGCTCAAGGGTCTCACCTCAGTCGTGGTATTGAGGGTGGAAGAGAGCGCTGGTCATTCGCTCCCCCCACCTACAATCCCTGCCGGACCTGAGACTCAAACCCACAACCTTCAGGTTTACCTTCGGGTTACAAGTCCGACTCTCTAACCATTAGGTCACGACTGTATCACATGTATCCTTGATAGACAGTCAGTGATGGTGAGAATGGAGGTTTTGTGGTTATACATGTGCACTATGGATCATGTAGGAAGGCAGATTTTTTTTTTTCCCTCAAGATTTTTAGAGAGAAACAAACAGAAATTAGAGTTGGAGAGCGAGACAGGGAGAGATACACAGACAGAAAGTAAAAAAAGAGACACAGAGGGGGGAGAGAGAGAGATGGCATAGGAAGACAGTTGTTTTCGGCTTACAGTTTTTAACCACTTGTGTGTGTGTGTGTGTGTATATCTATCTATCTATCTATCTATCTATCTATCTATATATATATATATATATATAAGTGTAATTAGAGAGAGAGAGAGAGAAAGCAAGGGAGACAGACAAAAATCTTTTTTTTTCTTTTTTCTTTTTGGCCTAGGGTTTATAACCACTAGCATGTTTCTAATTATAATAACGAGAGAGAGAGAGGGTGATAGAGTGAAAGAGAAAGCTCATGTAGGAAGGTGATTCTTTTTCTTTTTAGGTTTTTGACAACTAGCATATTTCTAATTTTAATAATGATTCAAATTAGAGAGAAAGAGAGAGAGCATGGAAGAGAGCATGGGACAGACAGACAGACACAGAGACAAAGAGAGAGAGAGAGACATAAATATTTTCATAATTTCTGCGTTCACGTGAATATGCATCTGATTATTATGTAATGACTGACTCATGCGCTTCACCGAGTCGTTTGTAAATAGGACGTGTAACAGGCTGCACACACGCTGACCTGATGTCCAGGAGCAGCTCCGCTTCTCAAAATGTCTGAGCACCAACATGTCCTGTTCTTCACGTTTACCACATAAATCTTCACAGAGGTGATCTCATGAGCGCCAGAATGATGTCAGGAGTAAGAGCACCACTGCAGAGGGGTGCATGTGTGAGACCGTAGGTAACAGCAAGGATTTATCATCAGACACTGAGAACATGAACAGGGCTAACCCAGTTACAGTCTGTTGTAT